TTTATTGAATCACTTTATATCCTCTCTGTGCCAGTCTCCTTTATGAACCAGGACCGCTGAAATGGAAAAAAAAAAAACTAAAACGAAGGGCAGATTAAGCTTGTCATGCGTGAAACGGCTTTAGCTGGGGGAGCTTTTATTCAGCATCAAATTAAATGGCATTTTTCCATATGCACCAACACCGCTAAATCCTTAAAGCGTCGCTGTTAACCCCTTCCTCGCTTGGCGGACACTGCCCCCTACAGGCGGCCCGAGGGAAACCCAAATCCACATTTTTGCCTTTTATCTCTGTATAGGAACCCACAGAAGCAACAATGTAACACAATCCCAACACACACCATCTCCATAGACGGTTTTGTGAGCGTTGCGCGCTTGTTTGATCGCCTGCCTGCCTGGCTGGCGGATAACCTCAAGGCTTGCCGATGACACGATGGCTGCACACTTATTATTAACAGACTTATGTGGGTCTGGTTATATAAGCGTGATACGGATGGATTTCAGAGCTGGGTTTTCGAGGGATGCAGTCACCACAGCCCAAAAATGGTGGGCTATCCTTTAAATCAATCTCCTGTCCATTGCAGAGGCATTTTTAGTAATGACCTTGAGCTGGGGAACTGTCGGGGGGGAGATAGGGAATATGGGAGCTACCATTGATGACTTCTTTGGAAAGGTGCAAGCTTTAAGGCTGTCATCTTGATCCTTGCCTTGCTACCTAGTGAGCCATTGATCTGGAACAAGCATGCCGCCAGAAAAGTAACAGGCACCAGGTCAGTGATTCACTAAGTGGTAGGTAAACGTCAGGCAGCTCCTATATTTGTGCCCTGGCAGGATCCTGTCCGCTTTCTGGATATATTTAATATAGGCAAGGAGAGGAAATCGTCAACATTGCCAATAGTATCATTTACCCGTCTTGCTCCTGTGTGTCTATACAAAGTATCCATAAGATCTGGTTAAAACTTAAAGTGTTAAAGTGACATTAAACCCTCAGATGTTTTAACATAAACCAATACTGTAATGTGCGCCTTACTGTAATCCATGGTTGTTTCCCTTCTCTTTGCTGATCTTCCTTTTAAATCCTCATGTCTTCTCATGCTTGGGGAGAACTTCCCTTTTCAGCTCAGGGCCTCTTCCTGTAGTGCTGGCTCAGGTTACAAGCCTATACAAACTTATACACAGACACCGTGTATCCATTCCTGAGACAAGGCAGTCTGCTGCAAAACAGAAGTTCTGCCCAGCATGAGAACAGATACAGATTTAAAAGGAAGAGCAGCAAAGAGAAGGGAAACGACCATGGATTACAGTAAGGCGCACATTACAGTATTGTTTTATGTTAAAAAATCTGAGGGTTTAATGTCACTTTAAAAGTCTTGCTTGTTGCCATTGAAATGCTCAGATAAAGCTACGGCTCCCTTTATTAAACAGGTTGGCATTCCGTAGACACAGCTACAGGACGGCAGGCTGACCAATAGTATATAATTATCAGTCCTGCTCCTATAGGGGCCCTCGATCTAGCCATAGGACCTGAACGATTGTATTCAAGTTTTGCTTTTCGCCATAGGAATGCTTTGTTAAAGCTCTGGCTACGGAATGCTCTCCTTGATATGCCAAGACAGTGCTGCATTTCATAGACACAGCTGCAAGATTACAGGGCAGCCAAGAATATAAATTTCCCTGACTTGCACTTGTGTGTCTATACCTCCTGCTGAAGTATCCTTTGAACCCAATTGAAAGTGTTTTTCTTGTTGCCATTGGAATGCTCAGATAAGGATACGGCTCCTTACTAAATAGGGCTACATTCTGTAGACACGGCTAGAGGACAGCAGGCTAACCAACAGTATACATTTATCGGTCCTGCTCCTATCTCGATCTAGCCATAGGACCTGAACGATTGTATTCAAGTTTTGCTTTTTCCCATAGGAATGCATTGTTAAAGCTCTGGCTACGGAATGCTCTCTTTAATACTCCAAGACAGTGCTGCATTTCATAGACACAGCTGCAGGATTACAGGACAGCCAAGAATATCAATTTACCTGACTTGCACTTGTGTGTCTATACAGGCTGCTGACGTATCCATAGGACCCGAATGAAAGTGTTAAAAGTTTTGATTGTTGCCATTTTAATGCTCACATAAAGCTTTGACTTTGAAATGCTCACATCTGATATATTCAGGTTTGGCTTTTTGTCACATTGTTACAGTTGTTACAGCTCTGGCTACGGAATGCTCTCCTTAGTATGCCAAAGAGAGCTGCATTTCATAGACACAGCTGCAGGATTAAGAGTAGTAGTATCTATTGACCTGCTTTGGGGGTTTTTTTTTGTGTCCATGCGGGCCATTGAACTGTCCATAGGACCTGATCGGCAGTATTGAAGTTTTGATTGTTACCATTGGAATCTGTAAATAAAGCTGTGGCTATAGAATGCTGCAGATTCCGTAGACAAAGCTACAGGCTTATGGGCTAAACCTGGACTTTCCCTGTTGGATACCACAACACAGGGGTAGGCAACATCTGCACACCAGCTGTGGTGAAACTACAAGTCCCATGAGGCCTGGTAAGACTGACAGCTGCAGGCATGACTCCCAGAGGCAGCAAAGTGATGGGATGTGTAGTTTCCCCACAGCTGGAGCGTAGAGGTTGGCTACCCAAGCTTTAACAGCTTACATAAGCATGAAGGGGCAACATAGGTCATAAAGCTGTGCACCCAGCTGATCATTGCTCTGCGTTATTGTATGGGATTGGTGAAATTCTGAGTCCGAATGCACATCTGTGATGATTCTGTCTATAATATATACTGGTTGGGCTTGGTCCCTGATTTGAAGGAACTGTCCCTCTTTGGTAGGTATTGTCTCTCTTTTGAAGGGAGTGTCCCTGATTTAGAAGGAAACATCTTTCTTTTGAAGAAACCGTCCCTCATTTGAAGGAACTATCCTTCTTTTGAAGGAAGTGCCCCTGATTTGAAGGAACTGACCCTGTTTTGAAGGTACTGTCCTTCTTTTGAAGGAAGCGTCACTCTTTTAAAGGGAGTGTCCCTCATTTGAAGGTAGCGTCCTTTTTTTAAAAGAAACTCTCCATTTTTAAAGTAACTGCTCCTCTTTTGAAGGAACAGTCCCTGATTTAAAGGAACTGCCTCTCTTTTGAAGGAACTATCCCTCTTTTGAAGAAACTGTCCTTTGAAGGGAGTGTCCCAGATTTGAAGGTACTGTCCAACTTTTGAAGGAACTGTCCCTGATTTAAAGGCACTGTCCCTCTTTTGAAGGTGCTGTCCCACTTTTGAAGCTTTCTGTCCCTCTTTCCTCCCTGATTGTCCATCTTCATAGTCTGAAGTATAGACCTCCATGAGAAAATGTATTTAATGGCCTAAAGTATTAGACTGCACTGGACTCTTCCTCCAATCTCGAAATTACTGCATTTTCTATTCTGAAGAGTCAATATAAAGGCTGCAAATGGTGAAAAAAAGCACTTTTGGGTCCA